GTCAGGAATCTTGGTGTGACCTTTGACCCAGCTCTCACCCTGGATTCTCATGTCAGTTCTCTTGTTCGCTCTTCCTTCTTCCATCTCAGGAACATTACTAAGCTGAGTCCCATTCTGTCCCGCTCTGAACTTGAGACTGCTAAGGACCAGCAACGTCCTCTGCTGCCCGAGGATAAACGGAGAAGGAAGTGACGCCACCATCAGCGTCAGCCTGAGGAAGTTTGCAGCCGCAAATGAAACGTAGCGGGAAAAAAAGGTAAACAAAACTGCTTTGTGTTTTAAAAAAGAACTACAGTGTGAAATTAGAGATACGACACAGCAAGAACACACCTAGGATGTTACAAGTCATCCTGCATGTAGATTCTGTGAACGCTCATCCTTTTATAAATTTGTCATTTGTGCAGTACATTTGGACATTTATGTTTACCATTTCTAGGTGGTACAAGTTACACTAACAGGAATGTGCACACCTGGCTGGAACTACACAACACCAAGAGAATTGCAGCCTTTATTTGCTTTAATATTTCAATATTTAATAATAAATAATATTTAATATTAAAACATTGTCAAGCAGCTGTTTATTTCTTTTGTGGGTATATGAACAGTAGCGTTCCACTATGTGTCATGTTGGGAATAAGTTTTACATGACATGACATGACATGACATGAAAGAATCACAGACGGAAACGATGGTAAGTAAATAACAAATAATATTTACTAAGAACGGTGTGTAACTGAAAACGCTGCTCCAAACGGGAACAGGAGGGACCGTGATCTAGAACGGGAAAGCAAACTGGTGTTAAAATCACGAAACCCTGGAACCAGAGAACCTGAACTGGAACAGTTTGGAGAGCTATTCTTACTGGAGATGATCGGTCTTGGTGAGGCAGGGCTGGGCCGTTGGGGCCAAGTGGGGACAGACAAGCAGCAGAGAATGAGGATCCAGGATGGGATGAGGAAACAGGTTGCGAGGCAGACAGTGAGGCAGGTTATGATGCAGGTCCGGAGGCTGGTGGTTAGGCAGGCTGGGATGCGGACAGGACGGTGGCGGAGAGTGTGGAAACCAGGGGGACGGTGAGCGACGTGATGTTGGAACAACAACTCCAGGCGGCGGTGGGTAATTCCTGAGAACAGATGAACAGGAACCTTCAGGACTCGGTAGATCGGGGCTGACTGGATCGGGCAGACAAGATTAAAACTGAACATCAAACGAGACTGCGACTGGCTAGTGTTTACCCAAGATGCAGTATCATCCGACACTGGAGTTGTGTCACACCGCTCCTTAAGTACCCCTGGCCCTCTGATCAGAGAGATCAGGAACAACTGGCTCTCTGACACGCTCACCTGTTAACACAGAACTGGGACAACTGCAGTGTATTAAGTGAAATGAATAGTGAGCAGGGCAGACCGTGACACTATGGCTGTTTGTTCTCCTGGCTATCTGAAGCTCACTGAGGGTGCACTGAGAGTGTATACAGTCATGTATGCACTGTTGTGCATGTTTCATTTTGCATAGTTCAAAAAAGTATTGCTCTTGTTTTGAGAGGGAAAGAGGTTCCATATCCATATGAAATAATTAAGATATAAGAAGAGGTGACAATAATATGCACAGTAAAAAAATCTATCATACATACCTTAGGTTCATGACAAGTTATTATAAAGAAAAAATTTCATTAATGACAGCAGATTATACATTTTACTATTAATTGTAACAGATGCTGTTTACAGTGACATAACACAGCTATAAAGGACACTTTACTCCCTTACCCTGTTTTATATAAAATCTTTAACCAAATACGCTTTCATAATGTTTATGCACGTGTGTTGAATTAGTTTATGAATACCTGTATTCAGATGCTTTGTAACAGGTCTAAACCAGTTTTTAAAATGTTAATGTTTGTCTGGAAGTGCAGTGTGTCTGCAGAGGGATAAGCTAGCTAACATCCTCACCCCTGCCATGTGGACCTCAAAGGATAAACCATCAACCCTGCTCAATGGTCAACTTTCCTGGCGGGGCCACCCATGACGACAGTGGGAGGGTAAAACTTGGAAAATTGGCTAAATTTAATGCAGATGTTTTTTTGGACTCAGGCTGGGTGGGAACACCTTATCTTGTGATACTGAAGTCTATTAAAGTTGTTGTAGCAAAACAAGCTAGGGTTTGAACGCAAACATGGTAACACAACACTCACCCCTCCCATGGGGTATCTCATATCACACAAAAAAAATCTGTTGCTCTGTTTAAGATCACAGCTTCACGTTTCTGTTTATAAATGTGCTTCTATAGCCGACAAACAGAGCTAAAACACGTTGTTTTAGGAGTATTATTCTCATGTCATGCTGTGTTCTTATATATTTATATTGTAGAGACTTACTTGTCCGTGAAAACGTCATCAACTCTGCATCAGACGAGGTATTCCTTAAATTTGAAGCAAGTAAGCAGTAGTCTAACGCTATTGGTTAGTTCTGGTCAGCGCTCATTTTCCTATTGCACGGAGCTCTGCAGGGCAGGGGACATGCTTTGCAAAAAAAATAAATAAAAGAGAGATGTATTACTTACATTTCGTCACAGTATGATGAGACAAAGATAATCAGTCAATGATGAACAGGTGTCTGATTCTAGACCTGCAGAAAAGGGACACACAACCAGTAGCGGTTTTAGGCACGGGCAGACAGGGCAGTTGCCCGGGGCGGCATTTTTTCATGACACAAAAGGGGCGCACAAGCGCTGAGTAAAAAAAAAAGAAAAAAGAAACCTGCGCCGCACCGAGGTTTTCTATTATCTGTCATATGACAGTGTCTGGATTGGAAACAGCAAGTTGGCGCCCCCTGCAGCTGCAGGCGCTCCGTGCACCGTGTGTGTGTGTGTATGGAGAACAGGAAGGGGAGGGGTGCGGCGGGGGAATTCACCTCTGGGTGGGTCCAAATGAAATGAGCTAGGGGCTGAATCAACTGTATCAACATGGTTAAAGTCGATCACATCTTGATGTTCTTCCATATTTCATTCATAATATCATAAACACAGGCCTATCATTCTTTCAGGTGTTTCTGAATTGTGTGAAATGGCCAAATAAAAAAAGGAAAAACAAAACGATTTTGTGTTCACCCCCCCATCAAGGTCAAATTGTTTAGTCCTGACTAAAGGAAACTTATTGAGTCAAGAGCCAAACAGAAGAGATGAACATAAAAAGGCTAAAACCACCAGGTGCCCGATTCAGGAAAAAAAAAAAGAAAAAAGAGGAGAAAGATAAAGGTATGTTCGCTCTCATGATGCATGTTTTCAATTTTTTGAACCAGTTAACTGGGATTTTAACGGTTAAATTTGGTCAACTAATTGCTAACAGAGCTAATAGGGCTGAAATATTGAAACGAATATTCAAATGGTTCGAAAAAATTCCTTGAATCGTTTTTAACTGATTCAAACTAGGATTTGTTAAATGCTCGCTGCAGCCTGTGGCCTGCCTGAACAACAACAAACACATGTTGATCATGTTCACATAACAATAAATAAAACAATTCTACAAGCAGAAGAAAACACCCCAGTCACCACTAACTATCCTGTTTATTTATTGCAGATGGCTGCACTGATTATTTTTTACATGATTTGTTCTGTAAAAGTTGGCATTTTTGGTAGTCTACAGTTTTTTTATGTCAGTTTAAATTACAATTTCAGAGGCAATTCTAAACTATTATGGATCATGATAAAGATCTATTGGAGATCTACCCCAACTTTTGGACTGCTCTGCCAGTCACTGTGGCTCAAGCTGAGAGGAGCTTTTCAAAACTTGATCAAGTCATACCTGAGGTCAACTATGTTTCAGGGGCGGCTCACTCACCTGGCTCTGATTAGTATCAATCACTCAGTAGGGGAGCAGATTTCATATGATGACATTATTGATGACTTTGCATCAAGGATAGGTTTTAATTTTAGTTTGTGTTTTCTGTTCTAAGTGCAGTGCTGTAGTGATTATCTTTAGTTTGTTATGTGTTAAATATTTTTGCTTTTTAGAATATTTATTATATATTATGTGCATATATTCTTAATATTTAGTTAGTTTAGTTGTTTTTGTATATTTGATTCTATATATTTTGATACAGTGTATAATGTATATTGCTTTACATTCTGACAACTTCATAGTAATTAATGTAAATATGTGCAACTTAGAAAAATGAATGTTCAATAGTCGTTCTAATAAAACATGCCTGTTTGTAGAAAACGTGTGTTCGTGCAGGTGGGGTGGTGTGGTGGTGGTGGGGGGCGGTTGGGGGGGGGGGGCGCTCAAAGGGGGCCTCGCCCGGGGAGTAATTCCATGTAGAACCGCCACTGCACACAACAATTCAACAGGAGCAAGCTATCACTGCATCAGCCTGATGAGGATAATAAATCACAGTGCATTAAGTGCCAACCACAGCCTTAAGACGTGTGTTGAACGTGCCCAAGTTCATACTTATGAGAGCACCATGTGAGCACCTGTGTGTGTACACGCGCTTGTATGTGTAAGGTTTCTCTATTGAGATTGACAAACCACGTGACTTACGCGCGGTGCATTGTAGGAATTGAGGACGGAGGGAGATTTAAAAACCCGGAAGACACAGTTTTTCTCTGTTGGGCTCAGTGTCTACATCTCCAAACAGTCCTTCTGCGGTGTAAACTAGCAAAGGAATTTAACCTCTCTTAATTCACAAGGATGTATAAAACAAAGGAGACTGCTCCCGGTCTGTACAAAGACAGGCTCGACGCAAAATCTAGAGAAAGGTACGAGGAGAAGATCAAAGGATTAAACAGGCTAGATCCCCACAAACACAAAGACTGGAGCAAAGACGTTAGCGTGTTGCCCAACTTTACTCACACACACACACACACACACACACACACGCATATATATATATATATATATATATATATATATATATATATATATATATATATATATATATATATATATATATATATATATATATATATATATATATATATATATATATATATATATATGTAACTATATGGTGCTAAGTGGGAGTGCACACACCCATGAAGTGTTTAGTAATGTCAGATCGCTGCAACAAGCCCAAGTCCAGTTTACCGATGGGTGGGTGCAGGACCTTGAAATGTGCAGAGTCGGACTGAAGACTGTTGTGCGCACGAAGGTAAGTCAACCTTTTTCTCATGTAGATGTTATAATTACTCTCAACAAATCTGTAGATGAAGGTTTCTAATAAAAATCTGTTTTTTCTGTGTGATGTCATTGCTAAAAATAAGAGGTGATTGTTTAATGTGGAAGCTAAATATTTTTTGTTTGTCTCTAAACACTTTGTTTTATAAGGTGAATATTCAGTTAGGTACTTATTTTAGAAATTAATTTAAAAGCTTTTTAACTGGCTTGGAATTTAGATTTTTTTATTTACAAGCTGAAAACACGGTAAACAACACAAATACTCAGTTAGGAAGCATTTGTTTACATATTTAGTTTGAAAGCTACAGATTTAGCTCGTGTTATACTTCTGTTAGGAAGGAGATTGTTGCTTTTTCTAGTAATGTTTAGTTGAATATGTAATTTGCACATTATTTAGCTTAGGAAGCAATAACTTCACTTGAAAAGGTGAATAAAAAATGGAACCTTAAGAAGGTAAAGAATAATTCTGGTATTAATCTTAATCATGAATTGGTGTTGAAGAAGCAAAAAAAAAAATTATTCACATATCAAGTTTGCTAATTAAAGACTTTGTTTTGGAGTCTTACACTTCAGTTAAGAAGGTAACTACCTTTTTGGGAATCAGCATTAAATGTTTTCTATGTAAATGGCACATTATATCTTTAATTTTGGAAGGTGTACAGCCACTTTCACCCATAACCATTTATGTTAGTTAAAAAAACCACGGACTACAGAGCTGTTTTGTGGCAACAGTGAACTTGTAACAGATACACGTGCATGACTTTTTCTTTAAGGTCAGAAAGAAACAAAATAAGCTATAGCTAAAATCTTTGACATGCTCATGACTCATTCAAGAACAAAGCTGTTCTCTGCTCTGTGATGGAGGGATTCTGTCACTTGTACGCAGACCCTGTCAACCCTCTCGTCCTGCCCAAATCCCTTCTATGTTTCCATGATGCATACCTAAGGGATTGTGAACTTTCTGTCCTTCTGCAGCAGTGCGAGCAACGGAAACGCTATGTCACTGTGTCAGAAGCAGAGGCAGAGGCGCTGGAAGAGAAAACCAGGGACCAACATAAATGTGAGTTTTGGCACACAGCAAGAGCGGGAAGAATCACAGCGTCAAACATTCATGCTGTTTTGTCCACCTCCACTGCCACACCTGCATTATCCACAGTGAAGATGTGCTACCCAAACAAAATGTCACGTCCGCTGTCAGACAATGAGCCGGAGCCAATCAAATGGGGGAAAGTGAATGAGCAAACTGCAAGACTCTACTACACCTCACAGACGACGACGCTGCACAGAGGTCTGAAAGTGGAGAAGTGTGGTTTCATCATTAACCCCTCCTTCCCTGTACTAAGTGCCATCCCGGATGCCCTCGTCTACTGTGAGTGCTGTGGAAAAGGCTGCGTGGAAATCAAGTGCCCGTACACACATGACAACCACAACCTTCTGCAGGCCTGTGAGGATGACACATTCTGTTTCACCTTAACAGACGGGATAGTGGAGTTAAAACAGACCCACAAGTACTTCAAACAATTTCAAACACAGATATTTGTCACAAAGTCTGAGTTCTGTGACTTTGTTGTGTGGACGACCAAAGCCTGTGTGAATTCAGGCCTTAGTAAATTTTTATACTTTCTCAGCGGCCTAGTGGATGAGTGTCCACCCTGGGACTGGGAGATCAGGGTTCATATCCCAGTCAGGTCACACCTAGACTTTATAATTGGAACCTAATGCCTTTAAGGGGAGTAAACCACTAAACAACCACTGCTGCAGCTCACTGCTCTGCACAGAGATGGGCCAAATGTGGAGATGTAATTTCACTAGCGTGTGATGATAACTAATGGAACTTTACCTTTACTGTCTTATTTAAGGACACGTTCAAAGTTTAATGGTGGCAGGATCAGGATAAAGAGAGACATATGTAGAAAATCTGGTTAAATGGCTTTTACATCATAATTTATCAATGCCATCCAACCGTCATGGCTTGATTTTGTGTATGCAACAGAAACCCTTTCCAGATAGACATTCTGGAATATGTGTGGACAATTCAGTCCGGTTTTTAACCAGAACTGTGTTTTCAGACACACCACTTTTCTACCTGAACTTGTCCTTTCGGCTGCCTTCACACAGCAGGGAAAAGTTCCAGATGTCTGGGGGGGAGGGGGTGGGAAGGCTGTACCCGGATATTACGTAAACATAGTGCGGCGGGCGTACATGCGTCATTTACCCAAACAAAGCTATTCAGTCAAACATGGCCGACGAAGAGATAGCATTCCTCTCACTGATCGAACTTATGTTAAACATAATTCTGCGCACACGAAGACGCATGAGAGACCAGGATGATGAAGCTCAATGGCTAATAAAGGAATCACGGAAGCTGTGTGAAGCACTCCATCGCGCGTCTAGGAGACGGTACCGTAGGAGGCGAGCTGCCATGGTTCGCTGCATGCAATAGGAGCGAGCTATCTAGGTGCCCACAGCGACCCCCGGTCCCCTCCTCCCCCCTCCCTGTCCGGAACTCGACCTCACCAGTCTGAAGCAGCCACCTTGTCCGTGACAAGTCCGGTCCTGTTACTAGGGGCATCGTCCGGTTTAATTACGGAAAATGTTATCCGGATGTTTGTATTCAGACACAAAGGTCTTACGGACAGAGTCCCGAACATTTCCGTTTTTCATGGCCTGTCTGAAGGGGGCTAGAGAGAGATAGAGACTGGTCATGGTGCTGGTCTTGATGAGCTGAAGGCAGTTCTACTCACTGACTACGTTTACATGCAGCCAATATCCGGGTTATGATCGGGTTAAGGTCGGTATTCGGGTTTCTGAGTTGATCAGAATAACTCATTTACAAGCATAAATAGTAAGAGTTACCTCTAACTTGCATAACTCGATTTAAATGCAGACGTTGGGGTAGCGTCAGGACGTATGGACTACGTCAAGACGCAATATGCGAATATTTCGCTGTCTCTGTACTTTTGGCCACCAACAAAAGACATAATGTTCATACTTTTCACCAGACCGATGAAGACAGAGGTTTCCTCGTCACTCCAAAAGTGTGGTGCTGTGCCACGACCATCGGCCGCGACTCGCCATGTTGATCCCAACTTGTTTACTTCCGGTGTCCTGGTGCATCCAAGACGCCTCGCTACTCAAAAGACCAAGATTCCTTGCGAGCAGAGCATGCGCAGAACACACGCTTTGATGGGATATCCCGGTATGCGTTTACACGACCAAACATTCGGGTTAGAAAAGAGTTACCCCAGGTGTAGTAACCGGGTTTTTAAAAACCCGGTTATGAGCATATCCGGGGTTTTGGCTGTGTTTACATGGCCGTGCGGAACCGGGTTATTGTGAATATTCGAGTTTTAAAAGGGTTACTGGCTGCATGTAAACCTGTAAACACACTCACTGAGTCAAGCTGTGCTTCACAAATGAGATGCTAATTGTATGCTAATGTCATGGTAATCTGCCCGTGGTATTCCTCCTCAGTGGTGAGCAGGGAATGTGAGGCATTTCGCTATTGGTTGGAGACTGAGGATGTCCTTAAATCAGAGTTCGGAACAAGAAAAGGAAAACTACTTGTACATACACATGAT